TCATTATACCAGTGGATACTCCTACATATCTTTAATGTACATTTAATGGCAGGTGTCATGAAAGACATTTGCCGGGCAAACTTAAGAGAGAGGACAGATTCAGTTCCAGACACATGAAAACTTGGCAAGACATTTGCCGGGCAAATTTAACAGAGAGGACAGATTCAGTTCCAGACACAGATCTAACTTTATCTAAATGATCTAACCAAGATTTACCATGGAACTGCCGGTGAAGGAGTTTATCCAGTTTTCAATACCAACTTGTTTAGACCTGGTTTGCAGCAGATGCATCCTGCTGTGCAAGTAGACATATTTTCCTGATTTACTCTGCAATTTACAAGTAATCTGCATGGGTATAGTAGTAGCACTTCTTGCTTATATATGTAGTCAGATTATCCTTAAAATGTCTGCTATAATTAACAACATCCCGTGAAATTAATTACAATTCTTTTGATTTGAAATCGTTTTCTTAGCAATTGAAAAAAATGATTCAAGGCCTCGGGCTCCTAGGCCTCCGCTGCTTCAAGGCCTCGGGCTCCTAGGCCTCCGCAGATGCAACAGTAGAGACGATGTCACCATGGCTGACACCCAAGAACTGCTACATGCCTGCCCAGCAACGGGGGCAACATCCCTCCTCCCCCCCTCCCAACTGTCTTTCTGTTCTGTGCACCTGCCGCGTCTTGCGTCGCGTCCTCCTCCTCTTACCTGCTATCAACAGCATCAAAACCACACCTTCTCCTCCCTCCACGATGCTCCACGGTTTCTCACCCACTGTTCCCAGCAACTGGTGAAGATACACCTTGGTTACCATGGTGACGTAAGGCCCCCACTATCACCACCATCACCACAGGGACTAAAAGGCACTGATGATTGGGCCGACGTGACATTCAAATGCTTCAGATAATGTAAATTAAAAACTGACAAACGTAACCTGTTCTGTCAAATCTGGTTTTTGTGTTACACAGACGTGAGGGTTAGAGGCAGGCCAAACAACACCTTACCGGTGACAGCTGCAGCAGGCGTGCACACATGCACAGATAAACACAGAGCCACTCTTGTGCAGAGAACAGTCTCTGTGGCTCCATGCTCCTTAGCCAGCACAGGTTGTGCCTCAAAACCTGAACTCAACATTATAACTCTGTCTCAGCGACAGAGTGGACGCCATTTTGGACCCTAGAGTATAGGGCACATGACTATACAAATATTAATATTAATGACCTGTCATGTGACAACACCTGAAGGAAACAAGACTGACTTCCGTCGCACAAAAGATGTCATGTGAACTTTTATTTTGGTTTAATTATAAAGTTTTATTAGTAATTAAGTTAAAAATGACATTTTATTACAATACTACAATAAAAGACTACATGGTTATTTCTTTATTTAAGTAGTCAGTCAAACATATTCTTTCTGGAAACTGAAAGAGGTTTCACTTGTAAAAAACAAAACAAAAAACAAGCTGGCTCTAACCAAGGATAACGATCAGTGTTGGTTCACAAACTACAACATGGTGGCTTTCATGTTTCATGTCTTTTGTCATGTAGTGCATGAGTTTGCTTTTGAAATAGCAGACAACTGAAATACCTGGAAGCTTGAAAGTAGTCAAAAGTACCTTCAGGGTCATATACTAACATAAAAAAAAGAAAAGAAAACCAAACCTAACTAACTGTTGGCTAAAGGAATAGCTAGAATGACATTTTTACAACTTTCTTTAAAATGGTCAGACAATAATAGCCTACAACTACAAGGCACTACAAAAGTGACCTTTTTGATAGTAAAGCTCTACTTAAAGGCACACACTACCACAGATCACATGACAGGAAGTAATAACCCAAAGCAACATGACGTTCAATGAGTTGCTCAGAGCTGTTTTTTTTTTTTAACAAAAACCCTACGCTTCCACAAATAGACTGTGTGCGAAATCAAACCTTTCATTTAAAAAATGTCATTTGCAAACTATGTAATGGGTTATATAATTCATTATGACTTTGATTGTGTTTGATGAAGTATTGGCAGGGGGCACTAAAGACACTCTCCACATCTCCCATGTGCAACATCTCCCCAAAGACAAACCAAAGCGGCAGCAGCTGCTACAAAATACTTTTTTTTTTAAAAATACATCGCAGTTTATCCAGACTAGACATTACTTCAACAGCGGGAGTCTATGTGCAAATCAAGGGAGCTGAGCTGCGGGGGGAAATAAAAAAATAGCCTGGTCTAGACTCAGTTTAGACTGCAATGCAGAGCCAGGAGCCAAGCTGCATTCACGTAGATGAAAGAGAAACGATGATCTCCAGCATTAATGAGTTCCACCATGCATGGCCGTGCACATACAGACCCCAGGTGGTAGTGAAGAACTAGTTTCTTTGCCCTCTGACCAGAGCATATTTTAATTATGTTGGCAAGGCAACATCATGTACACCATCTTGCCCTCCCATTACAATTTTTTTTTATTACTAATTGAGTATTTGTGTAACATTTGTTGGGTAAAATATTTCCAAAATATTTTTTAATCAGAAATTTAATACAACATCAATATGTACTTTGTAAGCTCTTAATAAAAAATATAAATTGGTTATTTTAGCTTCAATTATATCCTCAGGCAGTCACCGTGTGCTGTCATGTTTCAACAGCAGCTAATGGCTACATTTTCATGCAAAACCTAAACCTGAAGATAGAGCAAATAGTGTCTAGAGATTTGGAAAAGTAAAGTGTTATCAGTTTTGCTTTTTGGTTTATTTTTTTTAAACAATCTTTATGCAACGTGAAGACCAAAATAGTTCTTCGACAAGCTCAGACAAGTATCACCCTCGGATGGAACTAGTTCATAAAAACTCAACCTTTAAAACTGGGTCACATGAGTCGGGACATGACTATTATTGCGCCACTAAAACGCAAATGATCTTTAATACACATACGATCACAGTCTAGAATCTATATTAAACTGAACTGATTAACACCAGACTTAGTGTCAGAAACTGTTTTTTTTTCTATTTTATGCTTAGACTGGACTTACTAATTGAATTATCCAAAAGTAATTATTTGCTTCAATGGCTCAAAAGCCCCGATAGAACTAACAAACATAAGGATGGCAAGCCTTTTACCTTCAACATGCAACTTCTGCATGTATATCTAACTGAGATTAGTAAATTAGTAACCAAACATTTCTTATAACATACTCAATACTAACTGGCTAACAGCTTATATGCCAATAGGGGAAGAAAAAAAATGTCAGATATACTATTTATGTCATATTTAGGTTATAGATACGGGGTGGAGGTACAGATTTGTTTTAATAATTAATTTAATAATTAACAATTGATTTATGTATTTTATATATGTATGTGGGTATATATGTTTAGATATCTAGTCACACACACACACAAACATACATAAATATATAAAAATACATATCTATATACATATGTGCAGCCCACGGACCGAGTATGTACGCCACTGCTTAGCTTTCAACGTCAGCACCAGGTGGACGTGATGGTGGTAACGGAGTCTCCGTGCAACACAAAACTCATCAGAACACGAGAAAATTACACCAGCATCGTCACCAGTCACGACCAGCTCTGACATCATTTAGTCTCTAAACTAAGGCATGTAACCGTTTGCGCCAACTGCGCAATTGACGACTCTTCACCACATGCGCCAATCAAACGTCTGATAGCATTAAACAAGACTTATGCTACTGGGATGCAATGCGTAATGCGCAACATCAATCCTAAAAGCCGAATGATTAGCTAAAACGTAGTCAAATTCGGGTCAGATGAACCCAAATACTACATAAATTGAGCTCCACACAGCGGCAACACAACGGTCATTTCCCTCTTTTAAACGAGGCACCACGCAAGAACAGCCTGTACAACGTTTTCAGGGACTGTTGATCGTGTCCTTGATTATTAAACCAGACTAAGACCACAACAGCGCTAAATCTCGTTTATTCGTGGGACAGGTCACCGCGGCAGCCATCACTAGACCTCACCATCCCTCCCTCTGAATCGGAGCTTCCTTTCGACACCCACAGTGACTAAAGTTGGATCTTTTCAAGAAAATAAAAGACCGGTACCAAAACTTTAATAAAACGCAGTGAACACGTAAGCTACCTGAGCTGCGCAACCTTTCCATAAATAACTCAGGCAAATAGGTACAAGAAATGAGGGGCAGGAGAAGAAACAGGGCCAGGTTGGTTCCCAAGTTGAGAACCAAGAGAAACGTGGTTCAGAGGGTTCCGCTCCGTTCTGTATCCTCCCCTGCTCCTCCTGGCGCAAAAGGCGATTGGATTAGCGGCGAATCAGAAGGGAGGAGAGCAGATACAGACTGCGCCATTGTTTAAGACAGCAACATAATATTCACATCTCAATCCTGATAAAACTATTAAAAATATGGACAAATCGGGCAGAAACGGAATCTCGGATGGGCAAATGTGGATTTTCCCCCTCGACTTTAAACGTGCTGTAGAACTTATCTTCCCCGGGTACACACAGACGATGGTACCGCTTTGCCACTCAGAATCCAGGTTGAACATTCTTAATTATTAGATTTAATGATATCGTAACAACTGGGGTTTTAATTGGATAGTCCCCCCCGCACACGCAGTTCACACTGGCGCAATCAACGGCGAAAAGACCAGGGCCGCCGCTAGGGGCGCCACGGCCCACGCCGTATCACATGAACTGCCCTCGTCTGTGTCATGCGGTGGTAAACAACAGAGTCGGCGTGGCCCGGGAACGGGTGTAAAACCCTCCTCCACTGGGTTTATTTCACAGCCACATTTAAACAAACACCCCATTTTTGCCCTCTGTCTTCCTCTCTCGTATCCCCACCTCCTCCACCCCCATCGGAAAACAGTACTGCCTGCCGCCGTCCGCCATTAGAGTCCCACTGAACAATAACTGAAGGCGCCAACGACCGCAGCACAGGGCTCAGCAAACAGTTCCAACTGAGTCGTTTAACCGTACCGGAACGTGTTTCCGAGCTCCGGTGACTGTGTGTAAGCCCTCCCCCCGGGAAGAGACGTTGGGCACCCACCGGACACGTCGCCACAAAGTTCCGCAAGACTAAAGTTGAATTGTTAGTAAAAAGTGTCCCGTGGTTATAAAAAACATTGACAGAAATAAAGTATAACAGTAGCTCCTTACCAGAGGAGATCTCGACACGGTGTAGCGCCACTTTTGTGCCTTGACATTAATCCCGGGAAGCGCGTGCGCACAAGCTTCTACTTTCCACTTTCCGTTCACAGATCGTTTAGCAGTGCAGATGGCTCACCATGCTCCGGTATTGCTGCTGGGTACAATGCAAAGTATACGGAGTGTACGCTATCGGGATATGACGTCAGACACGATTTAAGCACTTTAATGTCATTCGTTTTAATACGTCACACTAAATACAAATCATTATCTGTTCAACTTCCGTGGCTTCAGTGACTGATTCCTGGAATCAATAAAGATACACTATGTAAGATTTGAGGGAGTTTACTTCTGTTGCTCAATTGCAGAAATGTAATATAAAATATATACGTCTAGACTCACCTGAAGAAACAATCTATACCTTTTTACTACCACCATTGGAAGCTTAACAGAGTAATATAAACCCAAAATAATGTGGGTATTTATGCTCTATTATTATTTACCCTCTAAACGTCATATTTTGGACTTCCCCTTATTCCCTGGTCAAAGCACAAAATGGTAAGCATTATTAAACATCAATTTCAGTACTTTCAACAAGAAGCCTATTTTAAATCTGGTAATACTGAACTATGATTTTAAGTCACTAAACGCTTTGAAGATACTACTTTCAGCATATTTATCCCCATTCGTAAACAATTAATTGGGAGGCCGTTAGAATCACCGGAAGTGAATGCAGAGTAAGGACTCTTTCTTTCATTATCCTCTCTGATGGCATCCTTTCAGTACTTGGTTAATTTTCTTTTTCTTCTATTTTTTTCCAGTCGCGCAAGCGCATTGGAAGCAATCAGTGGCTACATGGTCGCTAATTACAATGTGCTATTAGAGTTGTAACTTGACATACGGCCCACTTTGAACTGAATCCTGACCAGTCAACGGAGAATAACCTCATCACAAAAAGCGCCAAAAGGGGTTGCCATTGAGTCTCACACAATCAGTCCAATCGGAATCAGGATTCAGGGTTGACGGAGTTCATCACGTTTCCAATTTTTTCCGTGTATTTTCATGGTTTTCTCGCGTGAACTCATACGGACATTAATACAAATGAGACAAAAACGACAAAAAATAACTACACTCTAAGACATTATATCATCAACTGAATGTATATTAGTTAATCAAAAGCAAACTCACTGTTCACTGACGACCTATAAAGGAATAGAAAGAGTAATTTAAACACCAACCAGACACGTTACACATTGTTTGTCAAACGAACCGATGACGTAGTCAACATGGCGAATCAGGTGCGTTAGGCTGAAACTTCATAGAAATCACGTAATGGGGCAGAGACATTCTTACAAAATAAGAATAATACATGATTAGACACCTTGCTGTAAACTTACCGAGTCGCTATTAACTAACGAGTATGAAGTGTATTTTAAAAAAAAAAAAAAAAATCGATACATTACGACAGGTCGACAGGTGACGTCAGTCCCTAAATATACATCTCCATTACCGTGGTTATTGCATTATTGTATATCTTTTCCTGATCAGAACTTACAATATGTCGAAAAAAGAGACATACTTTTAATGCCACTGCTTAACTAATATATAAATAGACCTATAATTGGTAGTTAGTCTCTGAAACGAGCTCTAAATTAACTTGATTATATAATATCAACAAACGTCATATTTCAGATTGATGCCCAAAAAGTCAAAACTTCAATCCTATCTGGTATTCAGAAAATATGAAATGATACTAAACCCTTTCAAAAAAAATATTTACTTACCCTTATTTCCATACAAATCAATCATCCAAAGACCCATCCTAACAGCCCTGTAACCTCTTGAAAAGACCTGACCCTAAAGTTCGGAATTATTATACTAACCCATATATACTTTATAAAAAAAGTCAGTTTGGTCATTTTTACAGTAAATATTGTTGCACAGAACCCACATGGGAAGTGGAGCAGTCGGTCTGACCCTTGTTAACCTTTAGGACCACATAGCTCCCCCTTGAAAATATGTTAAAGGTTAGTTCATGACATCATATTTCTTTAATAGTTTATAAAGTTGTCATAATACCATAATCATAATTTTTAAATTCACTTGTCCTCTTAATTTTGATCAACAGTACACACATTTAGGCCCTTAGTAACTAATATTAGATTGTGTTTATTGAAAGAAATTGTACATTTTGTCCCTTTAAGAGGAAAACTGATGAAGTATGGCATGTGTGGAGACAGACTGTGAAAAATGTCCGTCTTTGTTTTTGTGTTGTAATTTTAACGCATTTAAAGTACCAAAATCCCTTGATGGTGCTGACATCTAAAACGCCAAAGTTCATTTACACCTGACTGTACACAATGTAGAAATAACTGTGCTGTAAAAAGCCAAAAGATTGCATTTAATTACAAGATTTTTTTTATATTTATATCAATACATAAAAACCAGAAGTTCTATAAACAAAAGGAACCAGTAAAATATTGAGATAACCATTTCAATAACCGAGATAACCGTCATTTCAATATAGCATTGTAAAAAAAGATCTATATTTGAGCTTTTCGGTGATTGGTAAATTCAGAACAACTTCATGAGGGCTTATTTGGTCATAGAAAGGCTGGACACCTCTGAAATGAGCAAAAACTCAAAAGTGGATGAATTCTGGCTTCCTTCACTTCATACCTGTTGCAATAAGGTGCTTCGTGTTTTTTACAGGACAGAGCTCAGGGAAGTGGTGATCTTCACTGCATGAATCTCCCAGTTAACAAAGATTGTCCTTATAATTCTTTTGGTTAATTCTACCACATTGTCTCTGCAGAGATTAACCACCCTGTAATACAGCTCAGTTCAATTATTTTCCTAAATAAAAAAAAGGCTTATAAAGATAAAGATGGTAAGGCTGTCTGAAGTAAATTAATGATATAAAGAAACAAAGACTTTCTCATTCAGCAAGCATGTCAAAGAGCCACTACAAAGTCTTTTTCATTCAGCAAGCATGTCAAAGAGCCACCTTTCCTGATACAGTATCTTTGCATTCACGCATTTATCAACGCTTTATGTACCGTAACTTATGGGCTGGATAATGAAGTATCTCCCTCTTGGAATTTAGTGATCAAACACTTTCTTTATGTGTCCACAAGGCTTCGGGAAAGAATATGTGTTTATAGTGATGTGGAAAACCCCCACTTGAGGTAAACACTTGCACTCGAAATTAACTTGAGTTGATTCTAGATGAAGCAAAATTAGAGAAGACCTCCATGTAGTTACCATCCCAAAAAGGCCAGAAACAAAAAAAGAAAGTCTGACTAAATGTTTTCGTACTGTTGAAAGCAACAATGCTGACCCCTAGTGTACCTGACTCTAAACTAGTAAACACAGTGAGTGAAAAACCTCAAGTATGGTTCAGAGACAGATGAACATCAGGAGTAAAAATGACAAATAGCAAAATCTAGCTTCCCGCACAGGTACACTCATATTCCTACGCACGAAGCACGAGCAGGTTCTACGACCATACAGCTGCCATGTCCACATGGACATGAAGGGGGGGGAAACCTGGTGGGAGAAAAAAAAAGGCACATCCTCCAGTCTTCGGACAGCTGCGAAAGGACCATCTTCAAACTGACAGTTGACTCCAGAGTTTGTCCATCTTATTAAATATAAATATATATATACATATATATATATACATATGTATATATATATA